CATATAATGAGGTTTTAGTTCAGTCTGATTCCTATCAGAATAGTGAAAGACAAAGTAAAAAACAGACTTTGCTTTCAATCCCAGGTCTGCTCTGGCTGTATGACCTTGGGCATGTCACTTTTCTTTAGTATAAAATGAGATTCTGATATATAGGTTACCGGGCTGTTTTGAGAATTAAATGAGATTACTTATGTAAAGTGTCAGCCCAGACACAGTCACATGAGTATCAGGCATTGACTAAAAGGAAGCCATTAGTAGCAGTAGTACATTTAAATAATAGGTGTGTTCCAGAAATGGTACAAGTAAATAGTTTTTTATTTTTGTTGTGTGGACAATGAAACATATTAACGAAATTGGGAAACTGATTTTTAAGGAACCCCATGGTGAGTCCTCCTTTGTTAATGGATGAATCACTTTAGGTTTTATCAGGTTTATATGCATTTTATTTTTCTAATACCAGGATTTTTTAAAATACGACATACCTGTTCAGAATCTTAAGGCCCCATCTCCTGCCTCTGATTGAAAAATATCACCGTATGATTCTTGTGTTGGCAAATGCTGGTGTGGCAGACAAACACCCTGCCCCACCCTTGATGTGATTAGACGGAGTGTGAGAACCCAGGGTCTATGGATTGAAGGAGGTACTGGGTCCTGGGAGAAAAAGACCAATTTCACTAATCTTGTTCTCCATTGGGCTTTTAAGGGAAATCTCACAAAGATGTTTTGGTTAAAAGGAAAGCAAAGTGCTCAAACCATAATAAGGATCTCAATTATAACGCTGGGAGAGCAGATGGACACCGGATTTGATAGAGGACCCTTTTAGCACATCTGCCTTTGATAACTTCTAACGCAGAGAGTGGCGCCTTTTAAATTAATTGGTCACTCCAAAGCAGTGTTTTAATAATGTGACTGAGAACCTTTTGTTATGTAGAACAGTCTTTACTGTTGCTGACTTTGAGGACTGAATTAATTTTTCATGAGTTCATAGTGCTTCAGGCTACCGTCCCAGCCTCTCCTTGTTTCTGAGGATTTTTTCTTTAGTATGTAGTGTGATTTGTTTTAAGCATCTCCATATGGAGGTATTTGAGGGGCTCTGTTTTCTCCTTGGTCACTGGAAGAATGATTCTGGAGAGTTTGAAAATTCTCCAATAGGCCCTATAAACTGTCCTATCTCACTTTGCTACCAAATATTCTTCCTCTGTCTTTCATTTTTCTTGCATATGTCACATGCCAGCAATGTACACACAGCCGTTAAGTCAAAAAGGCAAGTGGGAGAGGCAAGCTTCCTTCTTGGAGAAAAGTGCCTTCCTTAGAACTGCAAGATTTGAATAAGGGATGAGATCCATTGCTTATTTTTTTCCTTTTCATCCCAGGAAGGATTCTAAGACTCTTTACGAACCCACTTGGGTTCCTAAGAGGTTATGTCCTCATAAGTCTGGTTGCTGGAAATGAGGGTCTTGTCTAATAGAAGTAGAAAGCACTTACTTTATTGTTAGCCTATCTTAGAGAGCAAACTCTGCCTCCTGATTTTCAGAAGTATCTTCCAAATACTCAACTCCACACAGATTGCCCCCATTCTCTGAAGTCCTGTAGCAACCATACTGTCTGCAATATTGGGTATAGCATTTAATCATCCATAGCCATTCATCAAGTAATATATATATTCATGGCATGAAAAATAGAAAGTATCTTTTTACCTACCTTCTTTCCCAACATTTTATAAATATGTCTATTTCACTAGCTTGTAAGCTCAAGAATTGAAGCATGCCTGACATTTACTTTTATAGGAAGGAAGGAAAGTAGGAAGGGAGGGAGGGCAGGCCCATCATAGTTCTATGGTTTAGAAGACTTGATCTAAGTGCTGAGACCACTGCAAGTTTAATGGATAAGAAAAAAAAAAAAAAAAAAAGCCTTCCCTGCATATCCTTCTGAGTCTGAGGTAGATGCCACTCCTGTGTATCCACACATTTTCTGGTACTTTGTTCCTTCTGGCATTGTTCACACTCAGTTGTTATTACCCATGTGCATGTCTGTCACCCCCACTATACTATGTTCCCTAAGAACAAGGAATTTGTTCTATGTCTGTCTTGTTTGAAGATCATGCCCAGTGCTGAGCACACAGCCTACACTCAGCTCAGTAAATGTTGAATGAATGAATAAACGAGTAAATGAATATAAGTGCCATGTAAATTAGTTGGGGTTTCTTCTCAAAAGAAATGATACTGAAAAATAATATGTGCTTAGCCAAGATATTTATAATTGATTCAGAGAATGATTCAGTACTTCTGTAATTTAGTTTGGGCATAATGATACCAAGAATCATGGGAAGAGTGACAAATATGGAATATTGGTCCAGTAAAGAAACTGTGGGCAGCTGAAGGTTTTACACCCTTTTTCATGTTGTATTGACGGTACATCTGTTAATCACCACCTCCATCAGTTTGTGAGCCTCACATTAATGCACCATCCTTTGTAGAGGTGAGGAGCAGGAGAAGGGAGCCAGCTATAAGAAAGATTTCCATCCTCTGAGATTAGTAGCTAAGCAGCAATGGTAGGATGCCTATTGGTGGGATTCTTCAGGTCATAATGTATGCACAAGACCTCTCCCCCCCCCCCTTTATTAAGGGATAATTGATTGAGGTCAGAAGTTTTGGAGAGTCCTGGGAGATTTTTAATCCAGTGCCATCATGCAAAGCTTACTACATCAATAAGATGGTTCCATAGGGGGATAGAGGAGTAATTGAGATGCCACACCAGCTGGAATCCAGATGAAGATACATTTGGAAGCTTAATCACAGTCATGTTCTACACTAAATATTCATCCGTCTGTCTCCCAAAGAGGACAGGAAATTAAGTTGTCATGGGCAGGGGGGATGAGGGTTTAGCTGAAAGAAGAAACCCACACCTCAGCCTTAATCTCTAAATATGCAAGACTGTCTTCAATGGTTGAAGCAAAGTCCTCTTCTTTCCAGTTTTATTTTCTGAAAAATATTTGATCTGTTTATACACAATTTATCAGCTTTACAGTTACCAAAATGGACTGTTAAGATAGCTCAGGCTTCTCACTGTGGGATAAATACAGATGAACAATGCCATCTCAATAGAAAAATGCTTTACTGAGCCAATATAGAAAAGTATTAAAGTTGTGTAAACACTCAAGAAGGAGCAGGGGAATTCCTAAACAGAGCTGACGGGCTGTGATTGCACATGCCTTGAGGTACTGTATCCTGAAAGTTGGACTAAACCCTGCATGTAGTCAGTAGGAATTACATTACATACTGTGGGTTTTCTTTTATTTCTTTTTTCTTTTCTTTCTTTTTTTTCTTTATTTCTAAGTTAAACTCTTATGGTCCCTTCAAGGCATCTAAATTTCATTTCAAAGGGTGATTTGAAAAATGTGTGTTGCCGCCATAAACTAGATGATAGTTTCCTTCACATTTTGGTTTGACATTATGAATCAGACATTGGCTTGAATTAAAAGGAGCAGTGTAGCTCAGTGATATTATTATGTGAGGAGGTTGTATCAGGCAGGTGTCTCTGGCTGCAAGTAACAGAGCAACCCCCATTCAAATTAGTTTTAGTAAGGGAATGTGCACAGGTTTCCCTGTTCTCTAGAAGAACTTTACACCACATCCCTTTAACGAAAGACCTGCGTTCATACTTGTTTTTGCTAAGAAAATGAAATTCAAAGAGGAGTTTTGCTTTTACAAAATGGTGACCGCTTCCTTGCTGTGTTCCACTTCGATTTACAAAAGGTTTCTTAGGAATGCTCTACTTTTGGTTCGCAGGGGACATCTGTAGTTCACATGATAGAAGTCTGTAGGTGGGAGATACCCCAGGGGCAGGATGATAGGGCCCCTGCTCTGCTTCTCCATGGCTCTCTTGGTGCTCTGCCTTCCTCAGTGTGTTGACACCATCCTCCAATTGGGTCTTAGATGGCTATAGGACATCCCAGCCATCATGTCCTGATGCTTCAGTCCAGCAAAAGAAGGGGCCGTCTCTTCTCTCTGCCTTTCTCTTAAAGAACAAACTTCCTAGAAGCTCATTAGTAGACTTGCTCTCCCTGGAAATCTACCTCGACCAGCCCACTGGTGATTTTTTTACAACCATTTTTGCTTAGAAGTCGTGGTAGGAACACACCCATCCTCTTAGTGCCCTCTGTGATTTGACTAAGACATAGCTACCCATGACATCACCGAATTCATGTGGTACAGCAGAAGGAACATGGGCTGTGTGGGGTCCAAGCTGCATATGAATCCCATCTTCACCCCTAAATAGCTGTGTAACCTCGGGTGAATCACTTACCTTCAGGGATTATCACTGCCCCTTGGGTAAAATATGAGGATGATCCACCCAGAACTTGTGAGAATTCAAGCATGGCACACAGTACTGGGTAGGCATAGCTCAGTCATTATTCTCTTTCCATGTGTGCCTTTTCATTGAGTGGGTCTTAGTGCTAACTTGCTAGCTAATATGCACCATTCCTCCTAGGTATAGGTGTCCATTTTATAACCCTATCTTCTAATTACATGTATGGTGTAAAGCATAATTTAATTGAATGTATAAGCCTACAGCTATGTTTTATGTGAACATATCATATATAGAGATAATGCATACATATGTGTTATATATACAGCACATATCTCTTCAATCAACAGGTACATATTGAGGAGATATCTTAGGTGCCACATTGTTCCAGGCACCCCGGTGTTCTGCCGTGGTGCTACTTAAAGCATGGTATGCAGATTGGTGCCAGTTGACGAACTGCATGTTACTGGTCTGAGACAGAGAAGTACAGAAATTGAGCATAAACATTTAGACACATCATACTTTGACACTAAGACGTCCGTACCCATGTTCGTCCTTGTGATCCTTCATTTTGATTGTAGTCTCCAGAAAGTATTGGCGCATGCCAGATTGAAAACTAAAACAAAAACAAAATCAGCCAGCCCTTCGTGGAGTCACCAGAAAAGTTTGCTAGAATAGACATGTGCTCACTCTGCTCCCCGCCTTCCAGGTGCCATGGTTTATTTGTGCAGTGAGAAGAGACCATCACACAAAGTCGTCAAACATCAGTGCAAAGACAACAGTGAAAAACAATGTCATGAGGCAGTCATAAATGACCCAGTGCCACACCAGTGGTTGCAATGACACTTGCCACAGATGTCTGCAGGGGGACGAGGTGTCTGGAAAGTCTTCCCTGAGCAGGTGGATTTGTTTTGATTTCCCCTGCATTGCGGCCTCCTGTCAGGGTCTGCTCTGTCCCTTCTCACTCGGCGGCCTGACGGGTTAATCTCCTGGTGAGCGAGGGCCTGTGAATGAAGCTGGATGGAGTTATATGTCAGACTACAACGGGCACGCACTAAGTATCCCGCTCCATTTTCCTTGACGGGGCTTTGATGTTAGCCTAAGACACGTGAGATTACAAGGACGTCATGTCATGTGTCAAATCAGTGTTGGGGCTCCATCCTGACACTTTAATTAGTACGGGTGGAAGGAAAGGATGTATTATTTTTCTGTTCCAAGGCAAAGACCCTAACACCCACTGAGAACTGTTAGGTTCTGCCCAAGCCCCTTTTAAAAACACAGCCTGTACCCCTTAGGATAATGGCCACAGTGTCAAGCTAATGAAAAGAGCCCTGGGCCAGGAGGTGTAAACCTCCCTGGACTCCAGTCCACCAGCAACGCCTTGTGTGAGCTATGTCCCCCAAGTGTCCTGTTCAGCAACACAAATGCTTGTTAATTATTGACCTTGCAGGCTTCCCACCCCTAAAAAGTGGCTACTAATGCTTTCATATACCTCACAGGAGTATTAGCTGTTGAAATCATGCCTCTGACAGTGTGTCAGATGCCACAAATGATGCCAAATGGGGAGGGTAGGCTGTGTCAAGGGGGAGAGGGGGAAAATGCCATTACAGACCTTTGCTTTTAAGAACCATTTTCAATTAGCTGCAGTGTACTCCACAGCTGGAAAAACACCTGCAAACACCTTGCTCTGCTTGTGCAACTGCAAGCAGGTGGGGGTGTCAGAGTTCAAGGACGTATTCTATCCAGAGAAGCGCCCAGGCATAAAAGTAGCCCTTTGCCGTTTGTGAACGTGGCCGTGAGTAATGAGAAACCTGTGCTTTGCTTTCTGCTCCCGGAAGAAGGTCGTCCAACTTAATACTGAATGAAATCTCTGAACGTCAATATACTGCATTCACACTGACATCTAGACTCCTGTGTAATTAAGACCTCAGGTCTGGCGCTTGGTTTATCAGTGTGTCACTTCTCATTTACATAAGACTTTGGTTTTTCCCACATCTCTGCACAGACGCCGCCAAAAAAAATACTATTAACAATGAAAGGGCTGAGGATAGAGTTACACAGCCCATCGTGTCTTTAATCCCTGCTTAACATTTCCCTTAAAAAGAACATTGCCCTATTCAGAAATTAAACGCAATGCAATGCGTTAGATGTTCTTTATAGAAGGAGAAGGGAGGTGGATTTTCCACTGCTTTATTTTGAGCTTGAAAAACATCCGATTTCATGCCCTTTATTCAACTGTGAGGCAGAATCTGCTGCATAATTGGAGGGTTGTTTCTTCATCTCCCTTTTAGAAAACAACAGACTCTTCTCACCTCCCTGTAGCTGGATGCTAAAAACTGAGAGTGGACTCAAAGATTCCCTAGGTGTGTTAATCTAGTTTTGTTTATTCAGACTGAAGTCTGTTGGGTGTAACTGGATCCTACAAAGGAGAAAAGTGACTTCTGGGCTGCTGGAAACCATCCTTCCCTCCCCTTGGAGCTTTCCCCAGGGCGAAGAGCAGTGGGGACCCAACACTTCGGATGCCTCCTCTTCCAACATTAATGGGTGCGAGGCAGAGAGTTTATTATTGCAACTCAAATGAGAAAAAGCACATCCAAGAGAAGTTAGGGGACCCTCCAAAGACCACACGTGGAGTTCATTATAGGACCTGGGAAATACTACAGCCTCTACAAGCCTTTCTTTGCACACTGATATAATGTACGAATCTGCAAAATTAGGGACAGGGAAAGAAGTCGAATAAAAAGGCATAGAGGGGCACCTGGGTGGCTCAGTCAGTTAAGTGTCAAACTTCAGCTCAGGTCATGATCCCATGGTTCATGAGCTGGACCCCCACATCAAGCTCTCTGCTCTCAGCACAGAGCCTGCCTCAAATCCTCTTTCCCCCTTTCCCTGTGCCCTTCCCCTGCTTGCATTCTCTCTGTCTCTCAAAATAAAGATACAAACAACTTTTTTTAAAAAGGCACAGAGATAGGAGATTCTGGTCCATATAACAGGATTCTAGGTCCGAAGATACCTGTTTTAAGTAGGAAGCCAAAAGAAAGGATGGAGACTTGGGGTTGCTTTCAAGGATCCTCCTTTCCAGCTCTATCACTACTACGGTGTGACATTGGCCAAGTCCCTACACCTCTCTGGGCTTCAGATGCCTCATCTCAGAAACAGATTATTACAGTGTTCCTTTTGCAGCATTCCTATAAATACTAATGAAGTAATTCTCATAAACTACTTGGAGGAGTGGGGCGCCTGGGTGGCTTAGTCGGTTAAGCGTCCGACTTTCGCTTAGGTCATGATCTCGCGGTTNGTTTGTGCCTCCTTGGAAGGAGAAAACACCCTGAGACTCATTGAGATGCTATCCTCTTTGAAGTGTTTTTGGAGTTGTAGAAGGGTAGAGACTAAAAGTACTAGGAGATGGTGACATAGGAGCCTTGAAGAAAAGCACACAAGATGGGGCGCCTGGGTGGCTTAGTCGGTTAAGCGTCCGACTTTCGCTTAGGTCATGATCTCTCGGTTCGTGGGTTCGAGCCCCGCACCGGGCTCTGTGCTGACTGACAGCTCAGAGCCTGGAGCCTGTTTCAGTCTGTGACTCCCTCTCTCTCTGACCCTCCCCTGCTCACGCTGTCTCTCTCTCCTGGAAATAAATAAAAAAAACATTTAAAAAAAAAAAAAAACTACTTGGAGGAGTAACTGATGTAAACTTAGCTTTCAATTAATATTGCCCTTTAGTAGTAGCATTGCTAGTTTTTATCCAGATGGCTAGTCCCTTCTGAATGAGACAAAAACAGTGATTGACTCCACATTGCTGCCAGATTTTCCCATATAGTTTGTCCTCAATATCTGGCCAGTCCTAGGAGGCCCAGGCAGTCCTGGAAGGCACCCAGGAATCTAGGGCAGTTCTCAACCTGGGTCCAAATGAGAATCCTCCCAGGGAACTTGGCACAATACTGAGGGTCCCATGCCTGGAGATTTTTGTTTAATTGATCTGGAGTCCAGCTGGGCATCAAGAGTTTTAAAAACTCTCCAGGTGATTCTAATGTTAGGAACCCCTTGGCTAGCGAAAGGCCCTATTAATTTTGATGTTGAAAAAAGTTGCTGAAATATGAATGGTATAAGCTATCATTTCCCAAGTGTAGTGTTTACTGCTGATGCTATATGAGAGCCTGATAGTTCAGATTATTTGTATGTTGATAGCCTTCCACCTATTTTAATGTGAATTAGGAAAGAATATTCACAAGTGGTATTCTTGAGGTTTAAATTCATTAAAGCTAAAGGTGGAAGGGAATATATATAAATTCAGTTTAAATAAAATAGTTAATATTTACACATTTATGGTTTAAAAGTATGACTTTTAAACATAAATGACTAGGGTTTGGGAAATATAGTATGAGGCAAATATGGCTGTAGTCATAATTCTGAGTAAATATAATTTTAAAACATAAAATTACCAAGTAATTGTACAACTTTTCTCATTTGAAAATATAAAGGTAGATTTATGGTGGAATATGGTGAAACTCTGAACCCATCTAAGAACACAAATTCCTTGGTGTCTAGTAACTTACTTTGGGGATGCAATTGGAGATAAAAAATGTTATTCCATATTTACTCAGAACTATAATTATAATTACTGTGTATATACTGACATGGTTAATGATAATGGCATCCTGTATTTTAAGAATGTCTTACCATTTACAAAACACTTGACTTACATTATATAATTGGGTTGCCTGATAACTTGCTGTGGTTGGGTTATTAGCCCCTCATCACAACTGGGGAAAATGAGGCCTAAGGACTTGGTTAAATAGGCTGTCTGACATTACAGATAAGATGTGGTAGTGCAGGACTGGGACCTTGTTATCCAAATTTAAAGTAGAACTTTCTAATTTTTACCACTCTTGTTCTTGTCCATGTTGCCTGCTCTCTCTCTTCCACATTAAATTATAAAATCTCCAAGGGCATCTCTCACTGTGTGACCACGGATTTCATTTCTGATAACTTGCTCCACCCTCAAGAGCATTCAGTATTACTTCTAGTATTAGAAATGAATTGGGCCAGTTAGGTCATGTATGTATAAAACCACCTTAATGAGACTCCTCAAAGACTCTTTTTCACTTTATACTCTTAACCAAAACCTCTTTTTTTTTTCTTTTTCATGCAGACAGTAGCCAAAATCATCTTTGGAAACATGCCAATCCATCATAACACTCCTTACTTAAATCTCTGCAATAGCTGTCCATTTTGCTTTGTATAAATTCTAAGCCCTGTGCCGCCTGACCCGTGTCCCATCTCCTGGTACTCTGGCCAGAGCCAGCTCATGCCCTTGATAGCCCTCAAACAGGCCACATTCTTGTTGCTTCATATCTAGACAATATGTTGTTTCATGCAACAAGAATGCTCTCCCTGTCCCTCTCTACCCTGCCAAGAAAGCCTTGCTTCAGTATATCTCCATGGGGGGGAATTCTCTGACCTCCTAGCGGATGAGATCCCCTCCCCTGCCCTTACTCTTTCATACTGCAGGCAGATCTTTCCTTCCCAGTCCTTATTATGATCCAGAATTATTTATTGGTGTGAATCTGCATGACAACAGGGTGTCAGTCACCTTCATACTAGTTTTCTACCATTCTAGTTCCAAACCCTAGCACAGAACTTAGTATATGGTAATTGCTTAACAAATATTTGTTGAACTCATGAACAGGAATATGAAAAGGCTGTGGGGTAGCTTACCCTCTCTGAGGACAGGGTGCAGTTTTCACCTCCTGCACTGACAGCAAGTCAGGAAGTCAGAAGTGTTTGCAAGAACCTCAAGGCTGATCAGGGCCACCTGCAACAGTACTATCCTGAAGCCACTATCTATACCTGACTAGTACTGCTACTATGCTGGGTACTCCATACAGGAAATGAAAACCTACCAGCGGCTTCCAAGTTGCTCTGTAAGGGAAAGAACACTCTAGTTAAACCCAAGGTGGGATGCCCAGAGCACTGCCAGTCCCACCTTTCGGTGGCTCCCCCAGGA